TGGTTGGTGACCTCAGGACAAATTCTTTATCCCGAGCTCATCCCCATAGAATGATGCTGTGTCCTACGGACTCCCTGACTTGCCAGAGCTGCCATTACACCTGTTTTGCTCATGCTGTTGGAACATAATTCAAGAATGCTAAGCCTGGCTCTGGATTGAGGAGGCTGCAGTGTGGAATTTATTAATTAAGGCAGTTGCTTATGAGGCCCCAGAGTCTAGGAGGTTGCAGTTTAATTACCGAGAGCAGAGCTTGTACAAATTCTCTCTGGTGCCCCAGTTTTAATGTTGCTAAGGGTCTGAGCTGCTGCCGCCCAGTGTAGAGCTATAAACCAGGTTCAGTCTTGCCTCCCTCTCCTTGGCCCTGAGTGTGTCCTACCCATTTACATGTATCCTGGACAGTGATATAGCATGGTGGTTCAGAGCATGGATGATCTGGGTTCAAATTCTGCCTCAGGACAGAGTAGGACAGACTGGCTCAGTGATCTCTGATCTCCACATCTACACGTCATCATTTGTAAAACCTTATAAGGATATCTGTTCTGAACACTGAATAATTCATGTACATGAAGGGTTGAGCACCGCACTTGGCCAATAGTTAGAATCGTGTGTCAACTATTTCTTTAAAGGAGTTCTCAACCGGAGGTGATTTGACCTCCCAGAGCACACATGGACATGCCTGGAGACAGGTTTGGTTGTCACAACAAGGAGGAGGTGCTGCTGACATCTAGTGGACATCGCCCAGGGATGCTGCTAAATATCCTATGATGCACAGGACAGTCCTCATAACAAAGAATTCCAAAATCTCCAACCTGCCAAGGTTGGGAAACTCTGCTTTAAAGCATCCCCAGCAATTCAGGGCGGCATGTGGAGCATGGAGGTGGGGTCTTGCGCTCCCCTGACCTTGTAGCTCTTCACCCTTTATCATTCCTTTAAGCCAGCTAGGCGCTGATGAGTGAACTGGGAGGGAAGGAGGAGGAAAGGAAGCCAGGTATTTTAAGCCTTTGATTTCTTACTGTTTAGTCTTATTCCCACCCCTGATCCTGGAAGAAAAATATCACTCACTCACATTGTCTATTATCACCCTGTGATCTTATCACTAGAGTAACTAGTGTTTATTGAGCCTTTGCTGTGTGCCAGGTACTGTGCCAAGTGCTCTCTCTGTGTTAGCTCATTTTCACAGCCCTTGAGGCAGATGCCATTATCATCCCCATTTTACAGATAAGGAAACTGAGGCTTATTGATGGGAAGGCTCTAAGCTGTCTGAAATTCAACCCCTGGTTCTTTCCCCAAACTGTTTCATCTGCTCTCTCCCACCTTGGTTGATAGGAGGTTGCTCAGCTCCCAGGCCTGGGAGTCCCCGTCCCATGCACCTGCCCCCCCACTGCATGCTGTACTGCTGGTCCTCCTGAAGTCCTGACCACTCCTTTAGCCTGGATTCCCACCACAGCCTCCCCCTGCTTCTGCTTTCACCGCCCCCTGCCTCTTCTCTGTATCTGAGTCAGGGTGGTCCTGCCAAAACCCAGGTTAGATTAGACTACACACTCTGCTGGCTGCCCTTTCTTAGAGGTCACATGAAGTTTTCCAGAGGCCTCTTGGGCTCTGGCCATCCACTGCCCTGTGCCCCTTGTCCCCGTGTGCATTCCCTTCCTGTGGCACCCATGGCCTTTCTTGCTATTCCTCCAGCACATCCTACCCAGCACATCTGGTCTCCTTCCAGATCTGCTCTGGGCTCCCACAGCTCACCCCATCACCTTATTCCAGTCTTATTCCACCCGGCCAGGACTACATCCCTGGTCCCCTCACCCAGCTCAGTTTTTATCATTGCATCTGTCGGTCACCTTCTTCCACCCACACTGTATTATTTCCCATTGATTGATTTTTAGTTTTTTTGTCTCTTCTCCCCTCTCACCAGAGTATGTAGGGATTTTTCATTTTTTTTCATTGATATATCCCAATACGCAGTAGGTGCTCAGTAAATTTGTTGGTTGAATGACTTCCCCAGGGCCACCTGGCTGGTAAGTGGGGTTACCGGGATACAGTTCTTCACTTTCACACATGTTGCGCCATCCTCCCCACCCCATCCAGGGCACAGTGTCTCCCAGATCTTGTTACTCACCACATTTTGACTCTGTCTCCAGAACACTTTGTAGGTGTCCATGGTAGTAACAGCTTTATCTAAAGGGTGGTTCTGCTCTACTAACCAGCCCCCATGGGCTTCTCTGTGGCCCGTGGAGCCAGTCCTAGCTGTTGAGCCTGTCCTCAGTGTCCTCCTTCCTCTCTACCAGCAAACTTCTATTCATCCTTCAAGACCTAGCTCTAGTTTCCTGTCCCTGGAGCTCATGGCAGCTAGTTCCTCGCCATCTGTGTTCTTGCAGAGCTCTGCACAATCCTTATTCTGTCACTTACTACACTGGGTCCGAGCCCTGGGTGTTTTCCTGCTGCTTCCGAGCTGCTCTGGGGTCAGTGTCAGGCCCCGTCCTTTTTTTTTTAAGATTTTATTTATTTATTCATGAGAGACACACACAGAGAGAGAGAGGAAGGCAGAGACACAGGCAGAGGGAGAAGCAGGCTCCATGCAGGGAGCCCTATGTGGGACTTGATCCCGGGTCTCCAGGATCAGGCCCTGGGCCAAAGGTGGCGCTAAACTCCTGAGCCACCCGGGCTGCCCAGGCCCTGTGCATTATATGCATCTGGCACTCTGGCAATGTTTGTGTCCTCACCTGACGTCTCTCTTTGACTCATTGTTAGGCACTGTTTGTGTTGTTTTCCATTTGCTTTGTGTGGTGTGATTTCCTCAGCCCCTCAGTCACTTCCTGGAAGGCAGGCTCGGTGTCACAGCCCCACTTTTGTGTGTCTTGTTCCACGAGCCTGACACAGGGCCATGTACACCAAGACAGGATTTAGGAAATCCTTCTTGGGTTTGTGTCATGTCTACTTAAGGTTCCAGGGCCCTTGGCAGGTTAAGAGGTGCCTTGACATTCTTTTTCTCATTCTGGACCAGCTTGATAATTTGCAGGGCCCCTTGTTCAAAAATGATTAAGCATTTTGAGACTGTGATAGCAGAGCTTTACACCAAAGGTGGGGCCTTCTAGGCCTCAGCTCATGAACCCACCCTTATCTCATTGTGTCCAGTGAGGGAGGACATGATAGAGGTCATGATTTCCTTTTTATGGAGGGCAAAATGAAGGGCCCAGATGGCAGCCACCACCTAAGGGTGCCTAGCTGATTGGCAATGAAACAGAACCAGAAATAGCCCGGCTCCTGGAGCACGCTAACTGCCTTCCACTGGCTCAGGGACCCCCAGGACTTTGAGCCTCAGTTTTCTCCTCTGTAAAATGGGGACACTGACCTGATCATAAAATGGCAAAAAGAATAGCTGGTTGCGAATCTCTGGACAGTCCCATCAGGAACAGCACTGTAGCCTTTGGATGCCTTCTCCTTTTTTTTTTTTTTTTTTTAAGATTTTACTTATTTATTCATAGACACAGAGAGAGAGGCAGAGACAGACAGGCAGAGGGAGAGGGAGAAGCAGGCTCCATGCAGGGAGCCCGATGTGGGACTCAATCCCGGGTCTCCAGGATCACACCTCAGGCTGCAGGCGGCGCCAAACCGCTGCGCCACCAGGGCTGCCCCTGGATGCCTTCTCCTTAAAGTCACTAGTACAGAGGTCCTCTCTGCTTCTTGGAAGGGCCTGAGTCTTATAGGCAGTAGGAGACTAATTGGCTGTTGCGGTAATTGAAGAAATTAAAGCCCTTCAGAAGTGGGAGAAAGCTGTCTCTTCTCATCTCTTTTTAAAAGAGTGTGGGGACTTGGATGGAAGGTTCCCCAGGGAGCCTTGGTATTTCGGTGTTTTGATATCTAGAAGAATAAAAGAGCAATTAATCGCTAAAGATGCCTGTTCCTGTAGGGGTAGTCTGGGGGTAGAGGGAGTGGCGGGGTGGGTGACAGCTCCTCCATCTGAGGGCCATTGCTGGTTGAAGAGATACTCAGACCAGAGACCCAGAGGGTTCGAGAAGCGTCTGCCCTGTAGGGCAGGCTTTTGAAATCGCATATTCTCTGGGAAACATGTTTTCTTCAGCCCCCTGGGTGAGTGAGCATCTTTCTTTGCCCAAAGACAGTGGAAGAGGGGTTTCACGGTTGCCCTTGGTCCTGCATCTCCCAAGGAACAGTTATCTCAGTGTCATCCTCAGACCTCTGTCCTCACATAGCAGGGCCGAGAGTTGGGAGTCAGCCTGTAACCAGGGGCTCCGAGGTCCGTGCCCATAAGCAGAAGACGTGGCCGGGCTGGAGCAGCAGGCACCTCTCCCTGGTGCCCCCCACCTGCCTCGGCCTGTGCTCCTGCCAGAGAAACCTGCAGAGGACCTCAATGATGAGGCTGTGGGCAAAAGAGGAAAAGACTGTGTTCTTTGATCCCTGCAAGAGGTGTATTTGGGGCCAGTAGACATGGGGCCAAGCCCGTAGGGTTGTAAATTGCCTGCAGCTGTGTTTTATGTGTATGGGGAGGGTTGGTTTATGTTTACATATACAGCTACAGATGTTCAGGAGGCACGAGACACACATAAATGCCTGTCTGAGCACAAAGCAGGTGGAGCACCGCGGTACCTGCGCCTGGCTCAGGTTATGTTTGGTGGGTGGGACGCCTTCCCGTGCAGGTGCAGGACTTGCCCATCAGCTGCCCTGGAGTGATTCACATCTCCAAGCGCAGCTCTCCATTGGACTTGGTGACTAACCCATGGAAGGCGGGTGTGTGGTGACCTGCTTCAGCCGGAAATGACAGGCGAGTATAGCTGCAGTCAGCACCTTATCCCAGAGGCGTCGGTGCAGGTTCCCTGGGCCGGCCAGACACACAGGTATTTCTGGACCATGTCAGAGCCCGTTGCCATGAGCTTCCCGCCAGTGTTGTGGATCCGCCAGCGTGGGGTGTGTGCTCTAGCTCCCACTCCGGCAGCCCCTCGGGCCCTCCCGGCTCCTCCCATGACCCGTGTTCTGTGTTTCCACAGGGCCCCACCTTCCTATTTCTCCCCGGCCACAGCCCGCCCATCACAGTTGAGCAGCTGTTTGCCTGAAGTTAATTTCCAGAGGCAGGTAAGGACCCCAGGGGAAGGACTTCTGGTTAACAGGCCATAGGGCAGTGCCGGGGAGCGGGTCTTGGGTCTGGGCTGCGGGGCCGAGTGCGAAGAGAGCTCATCTTGCTTCCTCTTCCCACCACCATGCCTGATACTGCTCGCTTCTCCAGCCATGTGGGTTCTTCCTCTCCATGCCGTGGCATGGCTCATTTTGTTCAGGCTAAGATGTGTGCAGTCTCTGCATTAATAGTTTGTATTAGTTCTGTGAATCACCATTATATGATGCATTTTTGTGCAACGTAAACATTGCACGAATGAAAATGTACAGTTTTTAATGTAAGCATTTAAAATATATCACTTTTTAAAAAATGGGTAGAACAAATGACGGGCTGGGATGCGTGGAGCAGAGGTGGATTGTGTGTGTAAAGGATTCTTCTGCTCTTGGGCCCCAGCCTAAGGTCACTCACTATTTTCTAAGCAGGTATGAGACCACCCCGTATATAAATGTATATTCCTGTTTTATAAATGTGGGTATTCACATAACATAAGCTTCAAGCTTATAAAGAAGAATAAGTGCAGATGGCTATGTTTGTATCCAGGGCCACTTATGCCTGTCAAAGGGAGGCCAACTTTCTAATCTGTTTATCAGAATGAATCTGACTGCTGCATGTAACACTCAGCAGTCCTATTCTGGGCTTCCTTCTATACTGTGGTTCTTCTAAAGCGACAGCCACTGCTTCAAAACTGGAGATCGTGTGCTGGTAGAGGTTACATCCCTGCAGAGCAGGGCAGGAGTATGCTAGCTCACGTGCGACCTCGATGTTTGCCACAGAATGCAGTGTGGCCTCTTAGGCCATGGGTCACTTTGTCACTTTGTGTGAATCCCTTCCAGTGGTTGGGATCCCCTTCCCATCAGCCTTCCTTCAACAGAGACATGGGTTCAGAACCAACAGGAATGTAGGGGGTGTGGTGGGGAATATGTGTATCTGCACTGAGCGTATGTACCTTGGTTTCTCTTAATTGCATTTGTCCCAATCAGATATAAGCTTCTGGACTCATACCCACTTTTTGCATAACACATGGCTATCTACAGCATAGTTTTTAGCCATGGGTCTCTGCCTTCACCATTCATTTGGGTAGTTGATGATTTCCTGTTTCTCTCTCATCTACCTTTCCCCCTAGTTAGCTCTCACAGTGGTGGCAAGGGGAGGAAGCAGGTCTGTCTCTGACTCTTGCAATTAACACGGAGGCATTTTCTCAGGACTTAGAATGGAAGTGCCACAGTTTTTTTTTTTTTTTAAGATTTTAAAAAATTTATTCATAAGAAACAGAGAGGGGCAGAGACATAGGCAGAAGGAAAAGCAGGCTCCCCACTGGGAACCTAATGTGGGACTCGATCCCAGGACCCCAGGATCATGCCCTGAGCTGAAGGCAGATACACCACTGAGCCACCAAGGTGTCCCAGAAGTGCCACCAGTTTACATGATGGGATGTTTACAGAGCAGCTGGGAGACCATAATTGAGAAGCATCGTTACCTTTGCCTCTCAGGGCTGAACTGCATGACTATTGTGTCCAAATTAGTTGCAGTTTGGATTTATGTAATTCACACATCCCACTGGAGCCCAATTATTGATCCCTACAGAGGAGAATAAGGATTTTCAAATGAAGTTAATCTGATACTTGTCAGAACTGTGATGAAAATTTAGAGCATGTTGTCTTGGACAGGCACCAAACTCAAACATGCCTTAATATTTTTGTAGCATATCAGCGACTGCAATATATGTGTTGTTTGGGTTGATTATGATTTACTCTCTTCAATTATTAATTTTCTTCACATCGATACCCCTGATACAGACTCTGTTTAGGACAGAATCGTGTCAGTCATGATGTCTTCATCTATTAGAATTGAAGTGTGAAAGGTGGGCACGTGTGCTTGTAGCTACTACATCCTGCCCCAAATCCAGCCCTGGGTGTTTCCCCTTTTCCGGCAGCAGGGCAAAGCTCAAAGTAGAGCTCGAAGAATACTAGAAAGCCAGATTTTTTTAGAAATGATGAGTCTTCCTCCAAGTGGGAAGAGACAGTTTTAAAAAACTGTCTCTACCAAGGAAGCTGAAGTGGGAGTAGCCTGATCCCAAAGACCCATTCAGGCCCCATAACACCCTAGGCCCATGGCTGGGTGGTAAAACTCCTCTAGTAATGACAGTATGAGTGTGGAAGGTCCCCCGGACAGTGTGGCTTCAGTGGAAGACAATGGAGTGATGTAGATCTGTACAGGATGCCAGGATTGTTGGACAGAGCGACATTCTGTAAAAATAGACCAGGTAAAGTGATTCACGCACACTCAGGCTTATGGTCATACTCACACACTTCTGCTGGTTCTGAGCCCACATCTCTGTTGGAGGAAGCATGACTGGTCAGGAAAGGACAGTGAGGAAGGGGTTCCCAACCACTGCGAAGCCAGGACCTCTAGGTCCTAGGATGTGCAGCAAAACCAGATACGTATCTTTGCCTGACTAGAGCCCGCCTCTGAATGATGAATAGATCTTGCTCTGGGATCTGGGACTGGGGTGTGGTTTGTAACCTAGGATCAGAATAAGGGCTTGAACCAGATGAGCCTGTTGAGGAGTTGGGGTGGTGGTAGGTATGGAATCTTGCTGGAATTCTGGTTCTTTTGTGCGTGGTGACACCTAGTGGCAGGTCACTGGTTTTCAATGCTGTCTTTCACAAGGAGAGAGCAGACTGACCATTAGCCTTTGGGCATAGGATAGGGTGGAAGATTTTCACTCCCTGAAGCCCTGACTCCTAGTTTGAAGGCTTTGTGGAGTGTTTCAGAAGCCCTCTGGAGAACGGGAAAGCCCAAGGCACTCCAACTGCTTGACTAGGATCCCTTTGTCAAGGCTCAGTTTGGCTATAGAGACTGGATTAGGTACTTTGGTCTGTTCAGGGTGACTTTTGGCCCTAAATCAATGTAGATATTATAGAGAGGGAGAAGCTGTCCTGATTTTCCACTAGCCAGCCAGGTGGTATCTGTTAAGTGCCTCCCAGACACAGTGCTGGGCTGTGGAGGACAGGGTGAATAAGTGGGCCCTGACCTTCTAGTGGGGCAGGGGAGAGACGATGAACAAGTACTCCAGCAAGACCCTTTTAGAAAATTGGGAAGAGCCTGGGTCCTGTGACCCAGAGGGGGTAGGGGTCAGGGGACATAGAGCCTGCTTCAGTTATGCTGTCAGGAAAGCTTCCCCAGGAAGGCGTCTGTAAGCAAGTTGAAGGATGAAAAGAAGCCAGCCCAGGCTCAGGGGACACCTAGTGCAAAGGCTCCTGGGGGAAAGAGCTTCTTGGTATGTTCTAGAAATAGACTGGAGTCAGGAAGGCAGGGCGTGAGGGGAGGCGTGAGGAGGAGGAAGAGGCAGGGCTGCCCGTGCAGGCCTCATGGGTGTTCGTGTGGGGTAGTGGAGTGGGAGGAAGTGAGAAGGGGTCCACGTGACAAGAGGTGATGTGATGACCCACAGCAGGACTTTCCCGCTCAGCTGTACTAGGGAGTTAGGGTTGTCCACTGCACCGATGTGCATCCAGCCCCATGGGGTGGTGGGGCTGCCTCTCCTCACAACCCTCTTGAGGTGCCTCACCCCTCTTAACCAGTATTCAGAGCCCAGAGGAGGTGGCAGGCGGGTAGACAATATAATAGGGGGTCTGGGGGGAAAGGAAGTGAGGGGAAAGAAGGCCCCAGAAGGAGAGAAGAAGCAGAGCTGCCTTGAGTGTACAGCTCTGCTTAAGCTCCAGCTTGCCAGTGTTTTAGCCCATCGTGTGGACTTTTGGGGCCAGAGCCCCTGCGAGCTTATGGGGACTGAGCAGTGGACGGGGACTCCAAGGAGGTTGCTGCCTGGGCTCGGGCACATTTCTGAGTCTGCCCTTTGCCCACAGAGCAAGCCTGCCTGGGAGAGCCTGCTGGTCCAGGGCATGCTGGCCCCCAAGGGATGGACGGCATGAGGAGTGTCCTTGGCTCGCAAGCCAGGTTCCCTCGGTCCTCTGAACACAGCTCCTTGGCACCAGGGCTGCTGAGGCTCCACCCCCACCAGCTGCTGCGTTATTTCTGACTCATCCAGGAGTTACAAGTGTGTAACCCAAACCCCTCCACGCCTGGCTTCCTCTCTGCCGGCTCCTCCTGGAGGGGGGAAACCCTGGGACTTCTCTCCTGGGACCTTGTTGCAGGTTGGGTCCTGGCCGTACCTGGACACAGCTGCTGCTGGCAGGAGCTGCCCTCTGACTGGGGTGGGGTGGCGAGGGAGGGTGACGGCGGTGAGCTCAGGGGGGTATCTGTGCCCCACAGCCCAGGCCTGCCTGTCCCCATCGAGGGACTCCTTGGAGTGCAGCCCAGGCGCGGGACCTCTGGAATTCGCCAGGGGCTTCTGCGGAGGGGGCTGCCCCAGTGTTCGGGGCTGGGTACTGATCTCATGGTTTCTCCAGCCAGAGGCACCAGCCGGCTGCCTCTGGTCATGTCATTCTTGCTCCTTGCGGAACTTACATGCTTTGAAACCCTGGGACACTTTGGGCTTCATTCAGCACATCTCCTGTGGCTCATAGCAGGGTTCTTGCTGAGGTGGGGCCGGAAGGCCGAGCTAGCCAGAAGTCTGGGTCAGCTAGGCGTCCCTGGGCCTGACAGCTCCTTGCAGAGGGTGTTGGCCGCCAGTGCCTGCTCCGGGAGCTAGCCGCTCAGTCTGGCTGTCCGGGGCCAGTAGGGGTGAAGGAGGAACACGCAACTCACCACCTGCTCTAGGCTCTCAGAAGTGAGCCCCTGAGGCACTCTGGGCTGCCTGACAACTCCTGCCAAGCACCCTGTGTGTATCTGGTGCATCTCGTTCTGACCCCCACTTCAATGCTTCTCCCCCATCTGCAGGAGGCCCCAGGGCTGGCCAGGGAATGAACCGCGAGGGGGCTCCCGGGAAGAGTCCGGAGGAAATGTACATTCAACAGAAGGTCCGAGTGCTGCTCATGCTGAGGAAGATGGGATCAAATGTGAGTGCTTTTGGGGTGCTGAGTGACAGGTCCCCCAGGGAGGGTGCCTGATGTGGGCAGAACAGAGAGCCACCTCCTGTAACACCCCTTCTCAGGGAAGGTGGGGTGCTGGGCTTGTGGTTTGACTCTGTGGCCAATTCATGTCACTCGGAGCCCTGCCGGTCCAGTTCCAGGGGTCTTGGTGGGGCAGTCTTCCCATCTCTGTGCCGAGCTTGGGCCAGGCGGGCGTGAGCCCCTAAAGGTCCTGACCTTCCTTTCCTCCCGTCTCCTTGGGGGGTGTCCATGGGGCGCTGTACAGGATGGGCACTGAGAGGGATGGGCTTCCTGGGCAGGCCTGTGCTTCTTCCTAGCCATGTGCTGCCCTGGAACCCAGTCTCAGATCTGATCTGAGTGGCAAGGCCTGTGGGCCCCGGAAGCTAAGTTTCAGAGTGGGGGTCAGGGTGTTTGCTGTGGAACTGAAGGGTCAGAACTCAGGAACAGGGGCCCAGGGATTAGAGGAAATACCTTCAGGGAGCCAGAGCGTGCCGCCCCCTCACCCACAGCTGTCTCCCCTTGCAGCTGACGGCCAATGAGGAGGAGTTCCTGCGTACCTACGCGGGGGTGGTCAACAGCCAGCTCAGCCAGCTACCCCAGCACTCCATCGACCAGGGTGAGTCCCGGCTAGGGCGCCCAGCCACACCCTTCCTTCCCAGAGAAGCTCAGCTGTGGTTCCTGGGGTAGACAGGAGGGGTTGGGGCTTTCCCCAGGTGGGAGCCAAGAACCCCATCAGGTGATGGTGGGGTTCCCCCCTTCTTTAGGCCAGGGGGAGGCGAGAAATAGAGGCATCGGGTTGCCCCTGTGATTACAGAGGCTCTGGTTTTTGCCTTTCCTCAGTCTTTGGCTTGACCGCTGCCCACCCATCACCCTGTGAAACCACCCTCGTGGGCTAGGACTTGTTCTGGGTGCCAACTATGCAGGTGCTTGTGTGTTCCTGGCTGTACCCAGATGGGAGGCCCCAATGGCTCTGAGTACCTGAGGTCTCTGCCTGAGAGTTATTTCCTCCCTGGGTGCCCTCATCCAATCATAATAATGGTAGTGGGTAACATTTGAGTTATTTATTGTCTGCAGGCATCTGATGAGTCCTGGACACTCAACATTTTGTTTAACTGTAGAGAGGTACTGGTGGTATTACTTGACTCAACAGGCAAGGAGGGCAGCCCTGATGGCCCAGGGGTTTGGTGCTGCCTTCAGCCCGGGGTATGATCCTGGAGACCCGGGATCGAGTCCCATGTCAGGCTCCCTGCATGGAGCCTGCTTCTCCCTCTGCCTGTGTCTCTGCCTCTCTCTCTCTCTCTCTCTCTCTCTCTCTCATGAATACATAAAATCTTTAAAAAAAAAAAAACAGACAAGGAAACGGGTTCAGTAGTAGTAAGCGATCGCCCCAGTCTTACACCAGTCACCAGAGGGCTCGTGATGCAAACCTGCTGCCCAGCTCCAGAGTAGGACTAGTCATGGTCTGTCCTGGAGCAGCAGGAGATGGGGTACTTATGGGCTCTCCTATTCTGAAGGGCTTCCTCTGACCCTGGAGCCCACAATGTCCTGACCAGCCCTTCCAACTATTCCTTTCCTTTTATTTTATCTCCCATTTGATATTATTGGCCATAAAATAATGTCAGATGTGAGCTGGCACCCAGAAGCAGAGTGCCGAGGGGCATGTTGCTGATCCGTGGGGCCCAGGAGGAGAGCAGGTGTAGCACTCGAGGCCACTTGTCTTGAAGCTGTCTTGCTGTCCCGGAGATCATAGGCCTCAGCTCTGGCACAGGGCCCAGGTTCCCTAGCTCTGACATCGGGTGTCACCTGGCCTGTGCACCTAACTCAGCAGAAACATACAGGGCGTCCCCATGGCGCCGGCAGCTCCCCGGGTTAGCCACTCACTAAGTACGACCTGCCTGGGCCACACTCATGCTGCCAGCCTGTTCTGAACTGTCAGGGGTGGAGTCTGCCCCTCCCAGGGTTTTGTTTCTGAGAGAGATCCTTTCTCATCCACAGCTGATCCGGGTCTCTAGCACGGGTCCTCCATAGCCCTCCAGACTCCTGGCTCCTGAACCATATCTCCCTGAAACCCTCAAGCTGCTGCGTCCCTAGGACATTGCCTTTTCTCCTACCCTGATTTTCAGTCCCTGAGTTAACCAGAATTTGGGATGGATATAAGAATGCCTCTAGTAGGATGCTCTTAAAGGAAAAAATCATAATAAGTTGTAGAACTGTATGTCAGTGTAGAGACCAGTGCCCCCGCAACACACACACATACACACACACACACACGCACACTCACTCACATGTGTATGTGTATATGGAAAAAAGCTGAAAGAATGTATACCAGGCTGTTAATAGGAAATTTTAATAGAGAGTAGAACTATATAAGGGACTTTAACTTTCCAAGTCATACGTTTTTATAAAACTCAATTTTTTAACATTGCACATACATTTCTTTTGTAATAAGGGGAAGTTTTATTTATTTATTTTTTTTTAATTTTTATTTATTTATGATAGTCACACAGAGAGAGAGGGAGAGAGAGGCAGAGACACAGGCAGAGGGACAAGCAGGCTCCATGCACCGGGAGCCCGACGTGGGATTCGATCCCGGGTCTCCAGGATCGTGCCCTGGGCCAAAGGCAGGCGCCAAACCGCTGCGCCACCCAGGGATCCCTAAGGGGAAGTTTTAAAAAGCATTAAGAGGCCTTTCCATCTCGCCTAGCTAATAGCAGTTGAGAACAAAAATGAACTCTGGGGTTAAGGTCACAATAACCTCACCTGGCCTCAAACTGCTTAATAGTCAGGAGTGACCTGTGGGCTTGTGAGTGTGACCCCAGAATTTGCATCCTCCTTGTTGTGGGGTGTCTATGGGACAGCCAGGCAGGCCTCAGATATGTCTCCCCAGGGAGCAGGCTTCTGGAGCTTCACCAGGACCCAGGTGGTGGCCGGGGTGGTTCTCTGCTATTGGGGTACCCTGCCTATTGCTCTGGGTCCCCACGGTTACTCCTTTTTTCTTTTTCTTTTTTAAGATTTTATGTATTTATTTATGAGAGACATGAATTTTAGATTTTATTATTCATGAGAGAGAGAGAAAGAGGCAGAGACACAGGCAGAGGGAGAAGCAGGTTCCATGCAGGGAGCCTGATGTGGGACTCAATCCCGTAACTCCAGGATCACACCCTGAGCCCAAGGCAGGTACTAAACCGCTAAGCCACTCAGGGATTCCCCCACCACGGTTACTCCTGAGCTGAACCACACAGGAAGACACACTGGTGCACAAAGTCCTGAGGATTCCTTTAGGCTGAGTAGGAGATAAATGGACAGCTATGCCTGGAAGAGCTTTACGAACATTGCATTATTTTTGTGTGCCTAAGGGCCCTGCAGACAAATGCACAAATGCACAACAAAGCAGCGATCAGTACAGGCTTTCCCGTTGTGGGGGCACAACCCTGAGAGTGGAACCCCATGTTTCTGCCCAAACTATGGGGCTAAATGAAATGGGTCTTGGCTAAAATTCTAGCCTGCCCACCTTATCTGTAGATAGGGCCGACCTCAGCTGATGCCACAAGGATGCTGCTGTCAGGGGCCCAGGTACTGCCCCGGATCATTGCTTCCAGTGCATGGCATCTCAGCATAAAAGACCCCTTCGTCCCCAAGGCCTAGGAGCATTCAGGGTGATGATGGGCATGACAGTCTGGCAGAAATCTGGTGTGAGCACCTCCTGCCACAAGGTGGCACTGTGTCTCAGCAAATGCCCAGCACGGTCCTCTGCAAGACAGAGCAGACTCCTTGAGTTCCCCTCAGTGGGGGCCTAGGGCCACCCACCAACGGGATAGAGCTTGGCATTGATCTACCATTTTCATTCATTCATTCATTCATTCATTTAAAAGATTTTATTTATTTATTCATGAGAGACAGAGAGAGAGAGAGAGAGAGAGGCAGAGACACAGGCAGAGGGAGAAGCAGGCTCCCTGCAGGGAGCCCGACATGGGACTGAATCCCGGGTCTCCAGGATCACGCCCTGGACTGAAAGCGGTGCTAAACCACTGAGCCACCTGGGCTGCCCAGTCTACCGTTTTTAGATTTGCACATGCTTCTCCTCTGGGGCGGGAGGGGTCTGGTCCTAGGAGCACTGCTTGCCCTCCCTAGCCCCAAGGAGGAGTGTGGGCTGCGCATCCCTCACCCCACACCCAGGCCTCCTGCCCTCCTGGTCTTCCCTTGGTGAGCCATGAACGTGTGTGCAGTATCTGCTGGGTCTGGGCAGGTGCCAGAGACCATGCTGCATCGGCCTGTACCTCAGGGGCTCACTAACTAGTGCTGAGCCTTGGACCACCTGGCCTTTGCTGATCTGAGACTTCCAGGGATAGCCTCCTTCTGGAAGCTTGCCTCCCCTCCCTCTTCCTCTGTGACACACTGTTTTCTCTGTCTCTCCATCTCTCCTAGCCTCACCTCCTGCCCCCTCTGCTTGCTGTCCGAGTGCTCCTTTTCCTGAACCATGCTGGGGCTTTCCACAGTCTGCCCCTGGGGGTCTCACAGGCTCTGGTTGATGCCCTCCAAATATACACCCCCGTCCCAGACCTCTCCTGACCCCCCAGAACTTTATTTTTTAATTTTAAAAAAATATTTATTCATGATAGGCACAGAGAGAGAGAGAGGCAGAGACACATGCAGAGGGAGAAGCAGGCTCCATGCAGGGAGCCTGATGTGGGACTCGATCCTGGGACTCCAGCATCACACCCTGGGCCGAAGGCAGGCGCTAAACCGCTGAGCCACTCAGGGTCCTCCCCCGCCCAGAACTTTACAGGCAACTCCTTCCTGACCATCTTACCACAGACAACTCACACTCAGATCCAGATTCCTGCTCTACCCCCTCGAATCTGTTCTTCCACCTGTATTCTCAGTGACAAATGTATCACCTAATACCCAGTGCCCTGGGGACTCCTTTTTGAAGACTCAAGTGTCTAGTAAGTTACCAAGTCTTTGTGATTCTTCTGCCTTAATGCTCCTCAAATCTGCTCTGTCTTCTCCATCTTGGTTTCAATCCTCATTTTGTTCAGAGCCCATGTTTATTTTTGTCTTGATCACTGCAAACAGCTCCCGGCATCCTGACTTCTCACCTTGCCCCTCCAGTGCACTTCCTGCCCCTACCTCAGCAGGTCTTTCAGTGGCTCCTTATTGCCCTGCAGTTGAAATCCAGCCCCCCAGTGTGATGAGCAAGACCCCCTGACATAGTGACCTCATGCACCATAGCAAATGCCTTTCAGCTCCTGTCTCGGGCTGCCCTTTGTATTTCTGCATTGACCTCTGGGCTGCCAGGAGCTCAGCCCTGACCCCCAGCCTTCCCCTGCCTCTTGCAGGCTGGGCCAGGCCCTTCTGGGATTACCATCACACACATGCACCCCAGCTGTGCTTCTCCCCATCCTGTCTCCTGGTCCATCTCTTGAGCAACCCTGAGCCCCTTGAGCTTGGGACTATGGCTTCCCTCCCTTTGTATTTCTGGGGCTGGGCCCCCATGAGGCCCAGGGCATGCTTGGGCCAATGAATGGACCAGGGTGTGTGTCTGAGAGCCCACCATCCCCCAGAAAGGCAAGAATGTGGAGCCGATTCTCTGAGCACACCCCTTGGGGATGGCCA